AAATAGTGTCACTGTGACTGTGTCCCTTTCAGGTGCTAGAGAAACACAAGTAGAGAACTTAAAGTATTTTGAAGCTACTTTCTGAAGTTATTTCCTGGACTGCATTTCTTTGATAACAATACTGATTTGCGACTGGACCACGTGGCTCATCGTTTTAATAGGGTTACAAAGAAAAGTCCCAGTGCTATGCTGGTTTAATTCAAGATGTGAGTCCTGGTGTCTCAACTCCCAACCCAATGTCCATTCAATATCCCACTTCTTGTCCCACACAACTGTTCAGATCAGAAATATGAGGGCCCTTCCCAGGCCAGGTCCATCTGGGCCAAGCCCTCAGCCCAGCTCGTGCAATGAGCTTGCCTGAAAAGCTCTTGGTGCACCCTGCTTCCAGGAACGCCCAGAAGTGGGCAGGAACCATACTCACAATGTTCAGAGGCCGGAGGGACAGGAGGCTGTCACTATTACGGCTGTTGGACCAGGCATCCCAGCGAGGATAATCCCCCTTCTCCAGAACAAACTGCTCCCCGCGGAAGGCCCTAGACTCAAATCCCAGCCACCTGAGGGAGGAAGAGGCCTGCCTGGGTCACCTTTGCTGCAGCTGAGGAAGCATTCAAGCTTAGTGAGAGAAGGATCCAAGAGCTGCTGACCTTGAACCTTGCACCCTCCCTCCAACCCTACTGCTACTTCCTGGATCTGTAATTAAAGGAGCTGCTAGGACATACCAGGAACTGTCTGAGACTCTGGGCCGGAAAACCATCCTAGCGAATGTTACTGAGAATCTAGCCTCTGTGCAAGGTACTCAGAAAAGTCTTTAGCACAATGCCTGGCACACAATAAGTACCCATAGGTGACAGCGACTTCTTCCTCTTCCTTTTCTTCTTCTTTGTATTATATTGTTTTTAATATGTATTTATTTGCATCATTCCATTCATTTTCGTAAAAACCCTCTCTGAGGTATGTACCATTGTTATCCCCATTCCACAGATGAGCAAACGGAGGCCTGGTGTGTGAAGCAACTTGCCGAAGATCACCCAGGTGGTTAGTGCCAGAGCCTGGACTTGCAATCCAAAGGCGGGAATTCAGGGCCCAGGTGGGATACCTGACTGCCTTGTGGACATGGATGGGACACTTACCCACTTTGGCCTCAATTTCCGCATCTATAAAGTGGGAATAAGAATGACACCTCTCTCACAGGGTCATGAGGATTCAATGACATAATGCATGTTAAATTTTAGGTGTTACAATGATTATTAAAATGATAAATATTAAATCCCGTGTTCCAGTCACGGAGCTAGGTGCTAGGTTGTCCTTGCTGTTTTTCTTCCAACCTCAGGTATCCTGGGATTTGCTGCAGATATCTAGGATTCTACAGAATTCTTCAACTCTCATTTTACAGATGGGGAAAATGAGGCCAGAGAAGGCAGGGGAGTTGTCAAAAGCCCCACAACAGATCTAGAGCTCAGACTGGGGCCTCCACACTCCCAGAAGGCTCAGGGTTGTGGCGAGGGACTAGGGGTCTAGGTACTCACGGCCCGGACTCCACTTGGATGGAGCCCACCTTCTCCAGCAGGCTGTCGGTCAGGCTGGGGCACTCGGCCGAAAGCTCACAGCGTTTCCCTTGGAAGTTCTCTAGTTCGTACACGATCACCTAGAAGAGCAGCGTCCTAAGCATCCCACCTCTGCTGGGCTCTCGGCTCCAGCCTCTGCCCCTCCTTGGGGCATTAGAGGGAAGTACCATCTGCTTTATCCTCTCTGCATCTCTCCAGCCTGGAGCCAGCACGGAAGCGGGCCTGCACTGCCCTCTAATGGCCATGGAGGGAAACGCGTTCAGGAACTTCAGTGAGATCAATTAAACTAGGGATTGTAACTCTAACGTCCGGCAGGAGCCAGGTAGGGAGCCCAGCGGACTGAAATAACCCGAGAGGTTGGTGGGGAAATGAAGCTGCTTCTGGTAATGAGGGAATGAGGTCCCAGTTCCAATTTTTTCAAGAGAAAAATTCAGAAATCTGTATTTTCCTTAACGTGAAATTTCCCC